TGTCATGTATTCACCGTTATAGTATCACAGAAATTCACTGCCCTAAAAATCCTCTGTACTCTGCCTTTTCAACCCTTCCTGCCACCCAATTTCTATCAATCAACTGCTAATCTTTTGACTGTGTCCATAGTTACTGCCTTTTCTAGAGTGTCATATAGTTAGTTGTGAGGCAGGGGGCAGGAGTGAACTCCGGAAGCAGGGACTTTACTCCGGACCAGATTGAAGACTAGCAGAAACCGGGAGGAGGTTAAAGCACCTCTCCATAAGACACGCCCATCAGCGCCAAGTCAGTTTTTCGTTGCCATGGCAACGACGGGACATTATCGACCTCTTTCCTCTGCACCTACTCCGAAGTTACCAATCATTTTCTAGAAATTTCTGCATAATCCCCCTTAATTTGTACGTAACTAAAAGCAGGTATGTGACTGCGAACTGCCCCTGAGCTGCTACTCTGGGCACATTACTTATGGGTTAGCCTTGCTCAGCAAGGAGCAGTTACCCGTGCTGCTGCTGTACACTGCCGCTTCAATAAAAGTTGCTAACACCACCACTTCACACTTGAATTCTTTCCTGGGCTAAGCCCTAATTTTTGGCTTGCTTGCCTTGCATCAGTTGGAATCATACAGTATGTATTATTTTCAGGTTGGCTTTTTAGTAACATACATTTAAGTTTCCTTCACGTCTTTTCATGGCTTGATCATTTCTTTTCTTTTTTTTCTTTTTCTTTTTTTTTTGAGACAGAGGAGTCTTGCTCTGTTGCCCAGGCTGAAGTGCAGTGGCACTGGCTCACTGCAACCTCCGTCTCCCAGGTTCAATGGATTCTCATATCTCAGCCTCCCCAGTAACTGGGATTACAGGCGCACGCCACTATGCCCGGCTAATTGGGGTTTCCCCATGTTGACCAGGCTGGTCTCAAACTCCTGGCCTCAAGCAGTCCACCTGCTTCGGCCTCCCAAAGTCAATGCATTTCTTTTTAACTCTAAATAATATTCCATTATTCAGATGTAACACAGTTATCCACTTACCTACTGAAAGACATCTTGTTTCCAAGTTTTGGATAAATTATGAATAAAGCTGCTATAAACATCTGTGTGCAGGTTTTTGTGTGGAGATAAATTTTCACCTCCTTTGGATAAATACTAAGGAGTGTGATTGGTGGATCCTATGGCAAAAGTATGGTTACTTTTGTAAGAAACCACCAAACTGTCTTCCAAACTGATTGCACTTTTTGTATTCTCACCAGTAATGAACAAGTTACTATTGCTCCATGTCTTTGCAAACTTTGGTGCTGACAGTGTTCTAAATTTTGGTCATTCTGCTAGGTATGTAGTGGTAGCTACTTATTGTTTTAATTTGCAATTCCCTAATGACATGATGTCAAGCATCTTTTCATATGCATACTTGCATCTGTGTATCTTCTTTGGTGAACAGATGTTCAGGTCATTGGCCTGCTTTAAATCAGGTTATTTTCTTACTCTTGAGTTTTAAGTATTCTTTGTATATTCTAAAAATATTGTTCTTCATCAGATCTGTCTTTTGCAAACATTATCTGCCAATGTGTGGCATTTTTTCAACACTTCTTTGTAAATTTGCAAGTCCTTTGAGAAAAGAAATGTATCCAAAGTATTAATTTGGCAGTCTCATATCACAAGAGTACTCTAAAGCTAAATAAATTACAGTTTTTCAAATTTTGAATTAATTGATCTTTGCTATTGTTAGCAAGGTCAGCAAGGTCTTGTATTCTTTTTTTTTTTTTTTTCTTTTTCTTTTTTAATAGAGACAGGGCTCTTGCTACATTGCCCAGGCTGGTCTCAAACTCCTGGCCTAAAATGATCCTCCTGCCTTGGCCTTCCAAAGTACTGGAATTACAGGCATGAGCCGCCATGCTCAGCCATCCGGTATTCTTTAGCAACTGTTTGGTAACTTAATCTTTCACTTTTTGGAAAAAAAAGTTTTTTTCTCACAGTTTTCTTACAAAACCTTCATAACTGAAATACTTTTTCTTTATCACCTCTTCTTATAAATATAGTTTTCTTCTTTTTATATAAAAATCTAAAACATTTTATAACTGGCCAAACTTACTAGTTTAGATACTATTAGATAGTCAATATTTTTTGTTGGATATTTGATTTGTATTTCAGGCAACTAATATCTATTCATTTTTAATATCTATATTAAATAGATATTAATAGATATTTAATAATATCTATTCATTTAATATCTATTCATTTGCACTGTTGGAAGAAAATTACTGATCAAATTCACTATGTATTTGCAGAAAATGGCTTTTAATATTGTCTACTTTATCATCCTTTTTTTTTTCTTTCTTTCTTCCTTTTTAGACACAGGGTCTCACTATGTTGCCCAGGCTGGTCTCCAAGTTCTGCGCTCAAGCAATCCTCCCTCCTTGGCCTTCCAAAGTGTTGGATATGTTTTATCTACAACTTTGTTGTTTTGTTCTGCTACAGGATATTTGCAATTGCCATTTATCATAAAATTCATGAGATACCTTCTTCCACTCTCCTTTTTGTCTTTATTGTTCCAGTTATAGGACTAGCTTTGCATCTCCACTCAATTCTACATCAGTAGTATGCTTTTATTTTAAATTTTAAGTTTGTCTGTATGTATATTGAGACAGGGTCTTGCTCTGTTGCCCAGGCTCGAGTGCAGTGGCAAGCTCAGGGTTCACTGCAGCCTTGACTGCCTAGGCTCAAGTGATCCTCCCACTCCAGCCTCCAGAATGGCTGGGACTACAGGCACGCACCACCACACATGGTTCATTTTTTTGTATTGAGACAGGGCTTCTCCATGTTGCCCAGGCTGGTCTTGAACTGCTGGGCTCAAGCAATCCTCCCACCTTAGCCTCCCAAAGTGCTGGGATTACAGGCTGGAGCCACCATGCCTCGCTTCTGCCCTTATTTTTAATTCTAAAATAATTTATAATAAATATTAACAATTAGATTTAATTACTGATAAATATTAAATGCTAAATAGGTTTTTATTAAATAATTAAATAAAACTGAAAATAATCAGTATTTCAATTTAATTACTAATTATAATTCACATAGGTATCCTTGTAACTCCTAATGTCTGTATAAAAGATGTTTATATTTTTTAATTTTTAAAATTTTATTAGTTATGTATTTCACACCAGGTCATCACTGTGATACATTTTTCAAAACACATTATCACCAGAAAAGTGCTGTGATGGAAAATATAAATTGAAATACCTTTTCTAGTTAGAAGACTAATTCTGTTTTTTTGATAAAGAATGGAAGAGTTCTTCAGGCCCCTCCAAACTGTCATATTCCGAGCATCGGGTGTCCTCATCCTCACTCTAGTCCACAGGCAGGGTCCTCAGTCTTCAGCGCTCCTTCTCTTTCCCCTCTGTATTGTGTCCCCTTGCATCTCTTTTCTCCAAGACGTAAACTCCCTCAGGACAGGACTATTTTTTTACATCTTGATGCCACTCCTGAGCACTTGCTTTAATGTGTTGCACACTGGGTCCATTAAAGATTGTATCTGAAATTATAAAAGAAACGTTTTCACCTTTCTGTGGTACAGCTATAATTTCCGGTTTCATTTACCAACTGGGTGAAAGTGGACCAGTGACACCATCTGTCTGGGCCTTCCTTTCCTGAAATATAATTTTGAGGCAATAGTCCCTGGTTCTTGTAAGGTATTCAGGCACAAAACGCGAGGCACGTAACATACTAAATGAGATTTTTACCGTTAATTTATATGATTGCAAAGGACGTTTATATACACAGTCTGCAAAGAATTCTGGGGCCAGTTAATCTCTGTGGCATGATGGGTAAGTCAATCCCTTCTCTGGGCGTCTATTACTTCAGAAAAGGCATGAATTCAATTTTAGGGACCACACACAAAAAATGTATTCACTATTGTGCAGGACTTGGTCATTAGAGAGCTTTTTTTTTTTTTAATTTTTAAAATTTTTATCTTTGTGTATGTGAATTTAATGGAGAGCTTTTAAATAACCAGATATTTAAATAACCGGATAATACAGATGCCCGACCTGCTCCAGACAAATTAGAAAAGTATGTAGGTGAGGAGGGACCAGCCAGAAGGCAGTATCTTTCAGCTCTGGAGTGACACTGAACGTACTTCTCTTCCCGGCATGTCACGAAGTGTCCATTTCTCTGGCCTTACCCAGGTCCATCATGCTCGCCCCCTGGGGCCCCAAGAATGACTTCAGCACCCCACCCCCACCTCCCTCTCCAGATGTGGGTCCTGGGAGCGTTCAAGGCCCGTCAGTTACGAGAGCCACCCTTGGCGGCGGGACCAAACCTTGGGCTGCCGCCTGGATCTGAGGCTGGAGAGCGCCGTGACCACGGGGGTCCCCAGCTGGAGCAGGGCGGCTGGGGACTCGCGAGGACGCCCTGAACTGCGGCTTCCTCCTTAATAGCCGCAGGACTCGCGGTCAGAAGGCCGACTCCAAGTCTCAGCGGATCCACGAACTGGCCTCTGAGGCTGTGGTGAAATTTAAGATACCCTTTCCCCGCCATTGTCACTGACGTACTTCAGAAAACAGGTTAAAGTTCTGAAAGGACGTGGTCACGACTTTATATTTCTTACAGATTTGTGTCATGTTTTGTGCGTAAAAACCATTCGTCCTCATTTGCGATTCTCACATCCGTAATTCAGTTATACATGAAACTTAATTCAGTTATATCATAAAGGGTTCGGATGCGGGGGATGATTCGTTGGGTCTCAGCCCAAGGCCAGACGCAGCAAAGAGATCGGGAGTTGGGGGATGGGGGATGGGGGGCGGGGAGCGGGGACGGGGAGCGGGGACGGGGGCGGGGAGCCGGGACGAAGCCGCCCGCCGCCGGACTCGGGGTCCGGCAGAGAAGCAAATGCTCCCTCCGCGGCTCCCAGCCAGGGCCCCGCTGCTGGCCTGGGGCCACCCCTCACGCCGCAGGAGCCCCGCCCGCAGCGCCGACCCTGCCCGGATCTGTGCGGGCGCCAGCGCCCCCTACAGCCTGCAGTCGCCCTGCGCGCCTCCCCGCGAGGAGTGTTTTCTAGCGCCTCTGATGGGCGGACTCCTGCAGGCCTGTTGTGAGCCTGAGGTTCCTTCTCACAGCTGGGTCTAAGGTCTGAATGCCGCGCCCTCAGGAGAGCCACAGATGGGTCTCCGCTGATGCTTGTCTCAATTTCCTCTGAGCGGGAGAGCTCCGGGAAAGGAGCCGATCCTGGTGGTAGACTACAGATCTGAGTCCACGGGACGAAAAACGAGGTGCATTAAGAGACCGCGGGAGTGGGGAAGTGGGGTTGGGGACTGGGCAATGGTGGCGGGGCGAGAGGTCTGGGGCTGGCGGGGACAGGGCTTAAGAGAGAGCCACCCCTCCTAACCTTGAAACTGTACCGAGCTTCCCTGTGATATTTTAAAATGCAAAAGTACAAAAAGTGAAGTAATGGAACTATGCGTACGCACTTCCTAGATTTTTAAAGGTTAACGTGTGACTGTATTTACTTCAGATGTTCCTGAAATAAATGAAAATGACAAGTTAAAATGAAGGGAGAACTCAATTGCGTCCCTCCTAGAGGCAAACACACTTCTGAGGATAGGTTGTATGCTCTCAGCGCCTGTTTTTATTAAAAGTATTGAGAAGTACTTTTCCAAATATAGGTGGTGTGTATGGCATCATTTAAACGATTTTTTTCGTTTAAATTAGTCTATCCTTTTAAAAATAATCTTTTTTTTTTTTTTTTTTTTTTTTTTTTTTTTAGATTTTTTTGAGACAGAGTCTCGCTCTGCTGCTCAGGCTGGAGTGCAGTGGCTCCATCTCCCTTCACTGCAACCTCTGCCTCCCAGGTGCAAGTGATTCTCCTGCCTCAGACTCCCAAGTAGCTGGGATTAAAAGCGTGAGCCACCACCCCTACCAATTTTTGTATTTTAGTAGAGATGGGGTTTCACTATGTTGTCCAGGCTGGTCTCAAAATCACGACCTCCACTAATCCGCCTACCACGGCCTCCCAGACTGCTGGGATTACAGGCATAAGCCACCGTGTCTGGCCACCTTAATCATCTTTGTTTTTGCTTCTAGTCTAAGAAATTCTGCACTAAATTTCTGCCCTATTTTCTTCTAAAATTTTAAAAGATTTTCTATCTGTGTCTTTGTTAGACGTAGAAACTTTTGTGTATGATATGGGGTATAGCTATAATTTTATTTTTATTCCATATGAAAGCCAGTTTCTCAGCCCCAGTAATTGAATAGACCATCCTTTCTCCACCAATTTTTAAGGCTACTTCTATTCTATTGTGTGCATGGTAGTTTCTAGGCTGTTTTGTTGCACTGATTTCTTCACCTATTTTTGCATCAAAGCTCTCTTCTTGGGGAAGTAAAACAATCCTGCCAACCAAAGACCCCTCTGGATCCTCGAACACACCATCAGCATGGAAGGCTGCTGTCCTTACATTGCAGTCATTCAGCTAGTTAGCAGGAGCATCAGTTAGTACAGATATCCAGAGCTGATGGTCTTATTTGTATGAATGCCCAGTGCACATGGGATTGGAGGGGAGGGCTGGGAGTGGGATGCGGGGAGGATCCAGAAAGGGGCTAGTCTTCAAGTCTTCCCTGGAGAGTATGTAATCTTTTATCATAAAGTGTTGATTTTGTTTTGTTTGTACCTTCTTTAGATATTGAAGTATTCACTAAGGCTTAACATGTAATATCTTTAAATCTTCATATGAATAAGTTTATCTGATAGATTTTGGTGACACATAAACTATGAAACAAACAATGATGGAACATGAGAAAGGGTCAAGGGTGGCCTTGGTTAGGGACGGCAGCTTTTAAAACTATGAGCTAAGATAAAATTTAGAAGGTTTTCTTTTTATTTTAATTAATCATACCACTATTTTTCTCCTTTAATTTCCATATATAATGAGTTGATTGTAGTATTAATTTTTATTGTGCTTAACTATTTTAAGATAATAGTTGTCTCTCCTCATTTTAGCAAATAATATATTTAATGAAAAATCAGCTTTGTTGAGGAATAATTTATACACAGTAAAATACACTTGTATTAATTATACAATTTGATGAGTTTTATATACCCAAACAGTTACTACTATAATCAAGTTACACTTCCGTCAACCTAGATAGTTTCCATTTGTAGTATCACCTGTGCCTCCTCTTCCATACTCTTGGCCCCAGGCAGCCACTGATGTGCTTTCCATAATTACAGCTTAGTTCTCCCATTCCTAAAATTTCATGTGAATGGAATTTATATCATATGTATTTTTTATTTTCCTTCACATTTTTGAGATTCATCCATTTTGCTGTATGTGTCAGTAGTTTATTCCCTTTTAGTGCTTTATAATATTCCAAGATATAGATATATTGCAATTTTTTTTTTTTTTTTTTTTTTGGAGACAGAGTTTCCGTCTTGTTGCCCAGGCTGAAGTGCAATGGCATGGTCTGGGCTTACTGCAACCTCCGCTTCCTGGGTTCAAGCGATTCTCTTGCTCAGCCTTCCAAGTAGCTGGGATTACAGGCACCTGTGACCATACCCGGCTAATTTTTGCATTTTTAGTAGAAACGGGGTTTCACCATGTTGGCCAGGCTGGTCTCGAAATCCTGATCTCAGGTGATCCGCCCATCTTGGCCTCCCAAAGTTCTGGGATTACAGGCTTGAACCACCGCATCCGGCCGATATATTACAGTTTATTTACCCATTCACCTGTTGATGAACATGTGGATTGTTTCCAGTTTATATCATTGTGAAACAAAACCAGTATGAACATTTGTATAAAAGTCATAGTGTGGACATGTGTTCATTTATCTGGGAAAAATGACCCAGAAATACTGCTGGGCTGTATAAGTGTTTAATTTTATGTTAGAAACAGCCAAACTTTTTTCAAAGTAGTTGTAACATTGTCCTCTTACATCCACAATATATGAGAGTAGTTTCCTCCACACCCTTGCTCACCCTGGGGATTGTCAGTCCTTTCAACATTAGCTATTCTGTTGAGTGTGAAGTATCTCATTGTGGTTTTGACTTGCATTTCCCTAGTAACTAATGATGTTTAAAATCTTTTCATGTGCATACTGGCCATTTGTTTGTTTTCTTTTGCGAAATGTCTGTTGAAAACTTTTACTCTTTGTTTTGGCTCATCATCTTACTAAGTTATAAGGTTCCTTATATTTTCTAGGTGCAAGTCCTTTGTCAGATCCATGTATTATAAATATTTTCTCTCAGCCTGTGATTTTTCTTTTTCTTTTCTTTTAATTTATTTTATTTTTTAGAAAGATTCTCACTTTGTCATGCAGGCTGGAGTGCAGCGGCGCCATCTCAGCTCACTGCAACCTGTACCTCCCGGGTTCAAGTGATTCTCATGCCTCAGCCTCTTGCTTTTCATTTTATAATGTTTTTTGAAAAGCAGATTTTCACTTTTGATGAAATTTAATTTATCATTTTGTTGTTTATGTTTCATAAACTATAAACCTGTTGTTTTGTTTTAAAGAAATCTTTGCTAACCCTAGGGTATTGACGATTTCCTCCTATTTTTTAACGAAGTTTTATATTTTAGCTTTTACATTTAAGTCTATGGTCTATTTTAAGTTAATTTTTGCGTAAAGTTTGAGGTAAGGCTCCTGCTCCTCTCCCCCACACCAGGATATCTACTTGTTCAAGAAACATTTATTGAAAAGACCATTTTTTTACTTACTGAATAGCCTTGACACCTTTGTCAAAACCAGTTGTCCATAGATGTGTGAATCTATTTCTGGGTTCTCTATTTTGTTTCACTGATCTTTGTGTCTAACCTTATACCAATTCATTCTGAAATACTTTCCAGATTGCTATAGCATTTTAATAAAATTTTGAAATTGAATAGTTTAAGCCCTTGGACTTTTTTCCTTTTAAATATATCAACTTGGAGAAGATTGATTCATATTTGTTTGTGTTTCATTTTTTCATTTTTCAAAATTATGTTTCAAATTGACATAATAATTATATGTATATATGGGGTGCATAGTGATGTTCTTTTTTAAAAAAATATTTATGTATTTCTTTATTTATTTTTGAGACGGAGCCTTGCTCTGTTACCCAGGCTGGAGTGCAGTGGCACCATCTCGGCTCACTGCAACCTCCACCTCCTGGGTTCAAGCAATACTCTTGCCTCAGCCTCCTGAGTAGCTGGGATTACAGGCACATGCCACCATGCCTGACTGATTTTTGTATTTTTAGTAGAGATGGGGTTTCACCATGTTGGCCAGACTGGTCTCTAACTCCTGACCTCAAGTGATCTGCCTACCTTGGCCTCCCAAAGTGCTGGGATTATAGGCGTGAGCCACGGCGCCCAGCCCATAGTGGTATTTTTCACACATACAGTGTATAGTGATCAGATCAGGGTAATTAATTAGAATATCCATTATTTCAAGCATTTCTCATTTCTTTGTGTTGGAAACATTCAATGTCCTCTTTTCTAGCTCTTTGAAAATATATATTACTGTTAACTATTGCCATTCTGTAGTACAAATAGAACACTAGAACTGATTCCTCTTATCTAGCTGTAACTTATTTTCTTTAACAGATCTCTCTTTATCATCTCTTTCCCCTACCATTCCCAGCCTCTAGTAATCTCTGTTGTACTTTTTACTTCAGTGAGATAAACTTACTTATTTAGTTAGCTAGCTTCTGCATATAAGTAAGAACATGTGGTGTTTAACTTTCTGTTTCTGGCTTATTTCACTTAATGTAGTATCCTGCAGTTCCATCCATGTTGCTACAAGTGACAGGATTTCATCCTGTCATGAACAAACAAAAATTTGCAAAAACAAAAATTACCTTAGTTATCACATTTCTTTTATTGACATGATTCATAACCATCAGAATCATCTGACTTGTACATCATTGTATCAGTTGGTTTTATGCTCAAGATGTTGCATTGGTTCATTATTATCTTAATATCCCAACCAACCCAGTCTAGACATAAATGCTGGCCCCTAGGACTTGGCAGGAAAGGGAGACAGGCCTGGGCTAGGCATAGTGATAGCAATGCACCTGTGTTTGAAGCTGTTAAATATTTGCTACAATCCTATTCCTAGACTAAAAATTAGATACTTGTTAAGTCCTACTTGTCGGTGTCTATGGCTGTGTGAGTTCTGGTTAGTAGAAGGTGGGCAAAAGTGATGTGTATTCTTCCATAACTGGTCCCTAACCACCTACCACTCACAATACTCCATGCCTTTTTTTCTCTTCAGGCTCCTTGGATTAGAGACCATCCTGAGGACATCTTTGGGAGTCATGTGCTGAAGTTGGCCAAGCCACAGGATGAAAGGAGCTGTATCTTTGAGTCAGCACTGGAGAAAGGTCTCTCTAAATGGATTTGCAGAGAAGTCTTCTCAAATATTCCCCCTCTAAGTTCCACTTGTAATCCACTTCTTTTACTCTCCCAGCAATCAGTGTGGTTTGGGGGAAATTCCAGAATCTCATAATATCTTGGTCATGGGTAAATCAGGAAAGGGACTTTACATACATGTGATGCAAAGCAGAACAAAACAAGCAGGGCAGCCTAACAGCACAAGACCCCAAAGGGTAAGAAAAGTCCTGCAGAAGAGCAGAGCAGTGCTGGCAGGCAGCAAAGGTAAGCGGACAGGGCTGTCAGGATGGATCCTTGGGGCATGCCAGCATCCACCAGGGATTGGTAGAGCTATTTAGAGAAACTGATAAAAAGCTCTGCCAACTACAGTCACAAAAGATGGAGCTCAGAACGATGAGTAGATGCCTAAAACATCTCCTTTTTTTGATGAAGAAAGTAAAGTTTATAGAGCTTAGATTATTTGCTTTTGTACCTAGCACAGTACTTAGTTCATAGTAGATGCACAGTAAATATTCATTTAATGAGTCAATGAGTCACTAGCCTAAGACCTTTAATATAACATGCTTAAACCTGCTACCAGGGATTGGAAACTCACCTATTTAGTAGTGAGTAGAGGGGTGTGGTACTGGTACTTAAGATAGATGCATTGTGGTTGGGTATGGTGTGTTTTTGTTTTTGTTTTGAGACAGGTTCTCCTTCTGTTGCCCAGGCTGAGATGCAGTGGCATTATCATGGCTCAAGGCAGCCTCAACCTCCCGGGCTCAAGCGATCCTCCCACCTCAGCCTCTGAATAGCTGGGGCCACAGGTGCGCATCACTGTGCCTGGCTAATTTTGTTTTGTTTTGTTTGTTTGTTTTGTAGGGACGGGATTTTGCCATGTTGCCCAGGTTGGTCTCGAACTCCTGGGCTCAAGCTATCCACCCACCTTGGCCTCCCAAAGTTGTAGGATTACAGGTGTGAGCCACTGTGCCCAGCAGATATGATGTTTTTAAAAGTTTGAAAGTTAATATGCTCTCTGGTGTGCCCTAGGTCCCACTACTCCTATTGCCTTAAAACTCACGCAGTACACATTTGTCTTCCATCAGTCTCCTGTGGGCTTCACTTATAAGAGAACCCTTTCTACTCTTTGCTGTTCACAAGTCACCTTTTAAACAGAGCTTGTTCCCAACGCTGTTTTGTTTCGCCTTCTGCCATGTCCTTCCGGCCATCACCTACCTATCTTATATCTTCCATTATCCACATATGTCCTCTGTATTTTTTTGAGTTTTTAAACATTTATAAGCATAAGTCCTTAGGTAGCTATGCCACTTACATAATGAACTAGAAAAGCTAACCAAAGAGAACAGGGTTGTACTCAGATATACCTTCTACAAGTTTGTATTACACATATTTACACATATTTAAAAATATATACATATTATTGTGCTATGTGGTTATTAGACAAACTCAATAAGCAGTTCTTATAAAGTATACTCAATGTAACTTTTATAAACTTATATTTTATAGTTACTCTGTTTTTATTAGCTGCTATAAACTACGTGGGCATCTTTCATGAGTCATTTTATTGTAATGTTTTTGTATCTGTTGAATGAGGAGTTAGAAGGCATCATCTTTAAGGAGCTTTACAGGTACATGTCCAGGGCTCAATAATTTTATTATTATTGCCTGCACAGATAAAACCTAAGCAGATGAAGGGGAAAGAATGAAAGTGCAGGGTGGAAGCTGCTTGAATGCTAACTGGGTCAAAGTTCTCCCAGAAAACCCCCATAAAAGAAACCTAAGAACCTACATCACCAGGTGACCACTGGGACTAGTTCCTCTGGAATCCCTGAGGCCAGATAATCAGGTGAAGCTTTACTTTCTGTCCCTTTCTGGTCATGATCTTCTCCACAGTCTGCTTGGTGCCTCCTCCTCTGTGACTCTAAATTCTTAGGATCAACCCCTCTTGCATATGCACATCCGCAGTGCCTGTGGGATACAGTGTGGTATGGGAAGGAAACCGTCTTCTGCCTTAATATTTTCCTGCGTGCCCCAGGCCTTGACGGAATCCTGTCTCTCCATAGTGTTGCTTTTCCAGGAGATTGATTGATTGATTGAGACGGGGTCTCGCTTTGTCGCCCAGGGTGGAATGCAGTGGCGTGATCTCGACTCACCAACATCCACTTCCCAGGCTCAAGTGATTCTCCCGCTTACGTCTCCTGAGTAGCTGGGAATACAGATGCGTGCCACCATGCCTGGCAAATTTTTTTTATTTTTTGTAGAGACGAGGTTTCGCCATGTTGACAAGGCTGGTCTCGAACTCCAGGAATCAAGTAATCTGCCTACCTCCGCCTCCCAAAGTGCTGAGATTACAGGCGTGAGCCAAAGTGCCCGGCCTGAGTTTTCTTCTGGAATTCCTGCTGGGTTTTTGTAGTCAGTCCTCTCCCTGTTTCCCATATTGGCTCTTGCAGACCTTCCTTTTCCCCATTTCTATTTGCCACCATGTCAGACATGACTTTTGCCACAGGATCTCTACCCTACTACAGAGGAAACCAAAGCCATCAGTAGAAATTTCACTAACATGGAATCAGATTTATGGAAGAAAAGGGGAGGAAAGTTTTGCCTTAACACTTGGAAGGGTTTCGTTTCTTTTAGTAGCTGGGAGACAGAAACGTAAGAAAGTAGCTTAATAAGCTTTCAGCTGTCCACCTGATGATGTGTGAGCTGTCAGTAGTTCAAACTAATCATTATCTTTATGAATTATGTAATAACTTAAACAATGTCATAAACCTTCAAATCAGTTTAAGCCTAAATGTGTCATATTTAATAACAAGAGCAAGAAACATACGTTATGATGAAGAGCTCTTATATTTTCTTTGGATAAAAGTCAGTAAAATATAAAAGAAAAATGCATTTGCTTTGGGACTTTTAATATTTAGTCTACAAATCTAGCCACTATAGAAATCTGCTGATTAAATATGAGTTCTATTAAAATGGAAACATGCATTTTGGGGGAAAAAAGAGAGAGTGTTTTAGTTATTTTGTTTTTTACACTTGTTCATAACAAACAAAATTTTAAACAATCTTGAGGGGAACATTTTATTTCTACTTGTAACTGCATAAAGTTATGAGCTAATCTATATCATATATAGTTTGTAGCTTTATAAATTAGGAAATTCTAACAGAATAAATATGCTAATATGATGAAAATATCATAAATTACAATAGAATATATTTTAATAAAACAATTCAGAAGGAGCCAATACCCAATTTCAAAATCATATTAATTGTAAAATTAATTAGGGCAGCCAAAATATTCTAGAATTCCTTCTAATAAAACAAACGAGTGACTTTGTAAATACAGTCATACCAACAAACTTGAAGAATTATGCAGCATAAAAAGTGATTATCCCAGCACTTTGGGAGGCCGAGGTGGGCGGATCATGAGGTCAGGAGTTGGAGACCAGCCTGACCAACATGTTGAAACCCCATCTCTACTAAAAATACAAAAATAGCCCGGCGTGGTGGTGCATGCCTGTAATCCCAGCTGCTCAGGAGGTAGAGGCAGGAGAACTGCTTGAATCCAGGAGGTGGAGGTTGCGGTGAGCCAGGATTGCACCAGTGCACTCCAGCCTGGGCGATAGAATGTGACTCTGTCTCAAAAAAATAAATAAATAAATAAAAATAAAAGTTTTTAAAAAGTGATTATTATGAACACATAGTAATCTAGTAAAAATGGTTGCGTGAAAAAAGCAAAATGTAAAATTGAATATGTACTATAACAATATATGGAAAATATACTCAGATGTATAAAAATTAGAATGTAGAAAAGTAAATATAGCTCATCATAATTTTGTTCTGAAATTTAAAAAATATATATTTTTGAATGGATAACCTTCTTTTTATAAATGCCTACAATATAGAGCCCATGATGGTTGTTAAAAGCCCCCAGGTTCAGCCTTCTCTAATTGTGTGTCAGCCTGCCATCAACCCGAGGCCTCCCTCTGCTGGGCAAACTTGGGAACACATTGAGACATCCTTACATGTAATTCCTTCTCTTCATGTTCCTGGTGAGCGTTCTTCCCACTGGGTTTCCATACTCTGCCCTCTTGAAGTCTTGCACCCTGACATTGCAGTGTCATCCCTCTTCCACTGAAGTCTACAACTATCAGCTTATTGTCTCTAGCAAGTCTCACTTTAGCTACAAATATCATTCTGAGTTTACCTTTCAGAAACTTTCTCCCTGAGCATTCTGGATAGACTCTAGGTGCACTAGGTGCAGTTAGAAAAAGCTCTGATTAGTTGGTGGAGCTATAGGAGGAGAGACAGTGGTGGGCTGGAGAAGGGGTCTACACAGAGAGAAACTGACTGGAAACTCAGAGAGATGATGGGGATTAAAATAATCCTATTGAATCTGCACAAAAGTGTTTTATTATAATTGATCCTGAACTATGTAAAGGTAAGCTCCAGTGAGCAGTTACAGTCTGTCCCTAAGATAGACTCTTTTCGCTTTTATTTTTATTTTATTTATTTTATTGTATTTTTTTTCTAAAGACAGGGTCTTGCTATGTTGCCCAGGGTGGTCTCAAGTGGTCCTCCTGGCATCAAATGATCCTCCTACCTCAGTCTCCCAAAGCGATAGGATTACAGGCGTGCGCTACCACACCCAAATGATTCTTTGTGTTCAAATATAGAGTCCAGCAGCAATTTTAAAGAAGTACTAAACTCTACAGCTTGGGAGATGGAATGGCGCTCACAATTCTTCCAGGCAAGCTCTGCATTCAGTGATATGGACCACAAGGCAAGCCCATAAGGGGTTAAATTACTGACAAACAATAATTTCTAAATATGAACATTTCAGGAGGAACTAAGATGGCTCCTTCCTGGAGAATAAGTTGGCCGGCTTCTCTAGTTATCAGACTGTGTCAGACGGGGAGGAAAGAACCCCTCTGTCCCAGTGAGACAGGACCCTCCAGCCCCCAAGCTCTAAGGCTTTCTGATGAGCAAATGGGATTTCCATCTTTCTAGCTTCAGGACTCGTAACTACTCAGTTTATTCCCTTCAATCT